TTCTGTCTCTATGTCTCTCTCTGTTTGTCTGGCGAGCGCACATGCCCTATAGCGAAAATCTCTCCAAAAAAAAAAAAAAAAACTATTTGAGGGGGACCAGCAGTTAGTGTAATAGCTATGTCACTGGACTCCCACGTAGTCGACCATGGTTCAAGTCCTGGACCCAGTGGCTTAAACTCATGCCAAGTGTGTGCGTACGTGGCCAAGATCCTGGGAGGAGAATGGAGGAGAAGGGATTGTGGCGTGGCCATCCCCCGTGGGGGGTGATTTCTTGCTTTCTCTCTCTCTGTCTGTCTGGCAAGCGCATGCGCCCTATAGCAAAAACCTCTCAAAAAAAACTATTTGCGGTTATACAGAAATGGAATAGATTATTTCCTTTTCTGCTTTTTAACAATTGGTGAAATAAATACAGAATGATATGAAGAACAAGCAGCATCAAAATTCTAGTCCCATAGGACCAGCAGTTAGCATAATGGCTATGTCGCTGGACTCCCATGTAGTCAACTGTGGTTCGAGTCCCAGACCTGGTGGCTTAAACTCACGCCAGGCATGTGTGTGTGCATGCCCAAGATCCCAAGAGGAGAATGGAGGAGAAGGGATTGCAGCGTGGCCATCCCCCCGGGGGTTGATTTCTCACTTTCTGTCCCTCTGTCTCTCTGTCTCTCTCTGTCTTCCTGACGAGCGCACGTGCCCTATAGCAAAAACCTCTCCAGAAAAAAAAAAAAAAAAAAAAACCAGTCCCACCAGCTACTTCAGTGGACTTTCCATTTGTTACTGCAGACATGTGTGTGCATGTGTGGGGTCTTCACAAAGTTCACAAAAAGTGCACATTATGAGAAAACTGCATGGCTTTCAAAACTTTGCATCAAAATAAACTTGTACTATTTTCTTCTTTTTGGAAATTACGAGAGGACACTTGTACTCACTAGAGAGAGAGAGAGAGAGGAAAAAGCATCCCTCGGTGGGGCATGGTCATGCCACAATCTCTTCATTTCTCCTCCTTTTTTCAAGCTGGGATTTGAGCGCTGGTTGTGGGATCTGGCTTCCTTCACCACTAGGCTATTGGGCCAGCCCATACTTGTACTTTTCTATAAACTGTTGAAGGACTCTGTATGTCTGTGTGTGGGAAGACAAAACCAGGCATGTGAAGGTGGCTGAGACAGCCCCACAATTCCATACCCAGGAGTGGACTCAGATTATCTAACATGCACGTCGTTTGTGACCTTTCACTGTCGTGCAGACAACTTAAAGGATCTCCTTGTGTGTAAACATTTGTGTGTCTCACTGTTTACCCCAATAAATCAGAGGGACTGAGCTTGTCTAAGGCAGGTAATGTGCATTACCAAAATATTACCCAAACACCTGCCCTCAACTGTGTGGGGCGTCCACACAGAAAATTAACACACTTGACACGCCGTTTCCTCCTCACGCCCTCCTCAGTCCCCAGAAAGGCCAGCGCAGTGCTGTGTTCTGTAGTCCACCTGGAGAGGGCAGGCCGAGGGCAGTCATCATACACGGGCACCTCCGTCTCACAGCTGCATGCCTGTAACCACCTGTGTGTTGCTCATCACTACTGTAGTGTCCTGGGGCTGCCATCACCCAGAACAACTGACTGCGAGGCTTGAATAACCGGAAGATACTGTCTCACGGTTCTGAAGGCTAGAAGTCTCCTGAGATCAAGGAGTTAGAGGGCTGGTTCTCTCTGAGGGTTGTTGTGAAGGAGAATCTGCTCCAGGCCTCCTTGGCTTGCAGATAGATGGCCGTCTTCTTCCTATTTCTGTCTGTGTCTCTGTCTCTCTATGATGCATTAGAGAGAGTCTCTCTCCTAGTATCCTGCCCCAGTCTCTCTAGTAGCCAGGACTACAGGCATGCAGTACCATGCCTGGCTGGGAATCGAATCCTGGCTTCCCATGTGGCCTCAACCTGCCCAGCATCAGGGTCAACCAGTGTGCACTACCTTGGCTGGGCTTCCCTGTGTCTTTAATTGTTCCTCTGTTTGTATTTGTGTCCAAATTTCCAATTTATATAAGGACAGCAGTCATATTGGGTTAGGGCCCAACCTCATTTGATCATCTGCAAAGACCCTGTTTCCAAATAAGGTCACCTTCACAGGTACAGGGTTAGGACTTCATGTCTTGGAGGACACAGTTCGTTAACACAAGGGAAAGACGTGGCTTCCAGGGACCAGCAGTTGGCGTAATAGCTACGTTGCTGGACTCCCACATAGTCGACCGCGGTTCGAGTCCTGGACACAGTGGCTTAAACTCATACCAGGCATGTGTGTGTGCGTGCCCAAGATCTCAAGGGGAGAATGGAGAAGGGATTGAGGCATGGCCATCCCGCCCTAGGGAGTGATTTCTCGCTTTCTGTCTCTATCTTTCTGGTGAGTGCACATGCCCTATAGCAAAAACCTCTCCAAAAAAAAAAAGAGGTGGCTTCCAGACCACATGCAGTGCCTCAGCCCTGGTGGGGTTGTAGCTAGGGGTACAGCCTCACCGCTGGTGCTGTGGGGCCATCTGCTGGTGTCCCACCCTTGGACAGGCCTGTGCATTTGCCCACCACACCTTGGGACCCATGTCTGGAGGTGGCTTGTTCTCGAGTGGAGCTTAGGTGCTTTCCTCAGGGACCCTACCAGGACCAAGGTGCCCAGGAAGAGTGGGCCCATTCTCAGTTCTCTTTCAATACCCACCCATTGTCCTGCTCAGGGGTCTGCCCACTGACCGGTACATGTGGAGTGATGCCACGGGACTGCAGGAGTGCACCAAGGCGGGCACGAAGCCCCCTTCCTTGCAGTGGACCTGGGTGAGCCCCGGCAGCCCCTCCCCAGGTTTCTGACTGGTCTGTAGATTGGTGCGGGGAGGTGGGAGGGTGTCCCCATCCTCACTGACCTGCCCCTCCCCAGGTTACTGACTAAACTGGATTTGGGAGAGTCTGTCCTTCCTCCTCACCAGGTTCCTGACTGGTCCTGGATTTGGGGTTGTCCTCATTGATTCCCCTTCCTCGGGTTCCTGACTGATCCTGGATTTTGGCGGCCATTCTGACGGACTCCCCCTCCTTAGGTTTCTGACTGGTCCGTGGACTTCTCCGTTCCTGGGGGCACTGACGCCGAGGGGTGGCAATATGCCAGCGACTTCCCCGCGTAAGCATCTCTCTCAGCATTTGGCCTCATGGGCTGAGGCCCCAAGTGTCAGGGCCCCATGGGTGTGGTCCCTGACCCTCCCTGCCCTGGCAGTGCTGGCCTTACCACTCTGCCAGCTGAGCCCTGACCCCCAGCCCTGGGTATCTCTCCCACAGTCCCTGGGGCCTGGCCGAGGAGCAGATGCCTCATGCCACTTCAGCCGCTGCAGGGTGGGGAGCCCCACCTGTACGCCTGGCCTCAGTGAGTGGTACAGGTGGGATGACCACAGCTCTCTGAAACCCTCGGTTTCATCCTTACTGTGCCAGGGGCAGGTTCTGGGAGAACCCAGAACCAGGCCAGATAACGCGACCCAGCCAGACCTCCAGGGTGGACCTTCCCCTACAACGTTGGGTCCTTGAGTGGACTGAGGGTCCTTATGGGGCCCGGAGAAAGGAGGACTCAGAGCTTCCATAGCCTGAACACCTGGACAGGCAGCTACCATGCCCCAGCCCCAGGGAGGCCCCTCGCCCCAGGACCAGCTCCTAGAGACGCCCTCACTGCCAGGTCCCTGGGGACTGTGGCTCCTACTCCACCAAACCTGCTCCGTGGCTTACACTGTGACTCTGTGCCCTGTAAAGGGGGGTTTTGGAGTGTGGGCAGGATTGCTTTCCAGAAACTTCCGCAAAGTGGTCTTGATTTCACGTTCTCCTTCCTTTTGCAGCTCCTACCATGGGTACAAAACCATGAAGGATTTCGTCAGGAGAAGGTGCTGGGCCAGGTGAGCCGAAGCCACAAGGTCATGGGGTCCCTGCCTTACCCCCACCTCTAGTTGTTTGGGGAGCTGCACCCCATCCCCAGGGACCTCTGGTTCCTTTTGGCTAAATCTTCTGACCTCTGACCTCAGTCCCAAGAGAAGAAATATAGAGGGATAGGTGGGGGTGGGGGTGGGGACAGAATCAAAGTAAATGTCAGCCCAGGAAATGCCTGAGGGCTCCCAATGCTCTCTGGTTTCTGAAGAGTTTGTTTTCAAGAACAAATAGAAATGTCACTGCTGGCTCTGTGACTCTGTTTTAAGCCTGGTAGGGGTGAGGCTTGCTGGGCTGAGAAGGAGCTGCCTATTCACTGGTGCTCAGGGGTCCTGATCCCTCCCTGTCCCTGAGGCTTGGGTGGGGGTCTGCTGTCCTTCTCCAGCTGTAGTAGCCAGGTCAGCCATTCTTGCTCCCTCACGTCCAGAGCAGGTGGCTCCTGAGGTTCATAATCACCCTGCGGTCTCTTGACTGTGTCTCTTTCTGCTGTACAGAAAGTGCAAGCTAGTGACCAGTGGGCCCTGGCTGGAGGTGGCCCCCATCGCCCTGGGAGATGTGTCCATCATCCCGGAGTGCCCGGCCACTAACAGGAATGGGCACAGCGTGGCACTCTGGGCTGTCAGTGACAAAGGAGACGTGCTTTGCCGCCTGGGGGTGTCCGAGCTCAACCCCGCGGTGAGCACCCCATCCTTGCTTCCAAGGCCTCCCGGTCCTGGCAGATCCTTCCCCCAATGAAGACTTGCTGCAGAGTCCTAGAGCCCATGGACTCCGTGGTGCTTGTGGGTCACGAGGCCCTGAGGATAGCTGGCACTGAGGATGCAATTGGCGTGAGGAGCCTGCCACCTTCATGGTCTGGGGGTGGGAGTGTCAGAGAGGCAAGCGCAGGTGACACTGTGGCTCTTTGGCACCAGATCCGTCCTTAGCACCCTTGGTGAGATGTACGTGCTGCTAGTTTTCCTGCTTGAGAAATGAGAAGGCTGAGCCCAGAGGCTCCATGGTGTGCCAAGAGCAGGCCCAGGTCAGGGCCATCAGGGCTGCCCTCGCTGGCCATGCAGGCTCAGGTGCAGGCTCAGGTGCTGAACTCTTCACCCAGCCTGGGCTCATTTCACCTGGGCCCAGGGTCTGCTGGTGTCCCTGGGGTCATTGCGGTGTCTTCCTCCCATCTCCAGGGCTCCTCCTGGCTGCATGTTGGCACTGACCAGCCCTTCGTCTCTGTCTCTATCGGGGCCTGCTACCAGGTGTGGGCCGTGGCAAGAGATGGCTCTGCGTTCTATCGGGGCTCTGTGTCCCCTTCCCAGCCAGCCGGTGAGTGCCACTCTCCAAGATGGGACAGTCAGAGCAAGGAGACACGGTGCTTCTGCTCCTGAGAAAGCTGACTGGCCAGTTTCCTCATATTTGGTTCAGTTTGTCAAGCATTTATTACACAGCTCTGGATCAGGCACTGGACTGAGCTGGGTCCCCCCCAACAGAGGCTGCATCCTCCTCCCACTGTGGGGCTGTGTGCCCCCCTACCCTGAATGCCCCACTCCACAGTGACTGTCTGGAGGGTGGGCCCTGTTGGCTTGTTCTTTGCTGGATGTTTGGCCAGTGTCCAGCATGGGCTAGGTGAGCCCAGGGTGAGGGTTCTCAGCTCCTGAGGCTGGCTCTGCACTGTCCAGGCACCTTCTGTCCATATTGGTAAAATTGGTTCCACCTTCTAGAACCTGCCATGGCCTCTGGAGGGCCCTGGGCGAGGCCAGGGTGTTGAGTGGATGGTAGGACATGGGTCAGCTCCACATGGCCCTTAGCTCACACTGGGCCTGGCCACACATCTGCAGTCCAGCTGGGGATGGAGATGCCATGCCCGCCTGGCCCCTGTGTGCTGTGGAGGTGGCCCAGCATGCTGCAGATGTCTGGCCTCGTGAGTCTGTGTCTCCTTCTGCTCCCTGAGTCAGCTCGCCCTTCACAGGTGACTGCTGGTACCACATCCCATCTCCCCCGAAGCAGAGACTGAAGCAGGTGTCTGTCGGGCAGACATCAGTGTACACCCTGGACGAAAATGGCAAGTCATTTGGAGGCTCAGAGGGGAGGTGTGGGGTCCTCTTGAGCACCCTGGTGGGACAAGTCCCTTGCAAACAGAACGAAAGGAGTCCTCCCTGCTGGGTCTCTCCTTGAGGTGCCCAGAAATGTCTAGGCCTCTCTGTGCCACATTTCCCTGGGGACGGGGAATGAAGCCGTAGGCTCCTGTCACGGTGACTATGGAGGCTGGATGCTGATCTGCAAAAGGTCCTGGCCATCAGAAGGCTGCCCAGGGCCTGGGCCAGGACAGAGCCGGCAGGCCCCACCCAGTGTCTGCCGCTTCCCCCAGGTACCCAAGTTTGGGGGCACCAGCCCCAGATGGCAGAGCCCTACCTGGGCAGAGGGCAGAAGGCAAAGGATAGAGGACAGGGCACTCACGAGAGCTGAGGGCACAGCGCCAAAGCTGGGGTGATGCTCCATGGCGAGACCTGCACTGGGAGTTTCTTCTGGAAGGTTCCACACAGGCCTGTGGTGCAGGAGCTCCCTTGGCAGCTCGTGGCCTGCTCTGGGCATCCCTGACCCGTGTGTCCCCTCAGGCAGGGCTCTCGCCAGTCCCCTTCAGTATGCTGTCGCGGTCACAGATGAGGGAAAGGCTAGGAAAAGGCAGAATCAAGACTGAAGTCTAGAGTGTTCATTCCAGATCCGGATCTCTTTGTATTTGTTTAATAAATTCTTTGTCCTCAGTTTCTAGCTCAGTAAAAGAGGATAGCGATGCCAACCCTGCCCAGCACAATAGGATGATTATGAAGTGCAGGCAAACCCCAGAGTGTGGAAAGGCCAGAGCTGGCTGCGGCCCAGGCCCTCACACTGTGGCTCAGCCAGGGTGCAGAGGGGCCAGGGCCACTGCCAAGACTGATCAGGCCTCCCCAGCTCCTGAAGCTGGTCAAAGCTGGGGCCTGATCTGATCTGGGCCTGGCAGAGCTGGGCTGCACGGGCAGGGTGGGCTTGGGAAGGCCTTTGCATTTGACCCTGGCCGCTTCTCTCCCCAGGGAACCTGTGGTATCGCCAAGGGATCACGCCCAGCTACCCACAGGGCTCCAGCTGGGAGCACGTGTCCAACAATGTGCGCCGAGTGTCCGTGGGGCCTCTGGATCAGGTGTGTGGGGACTCGGAGAGTTGGATACTTGGGCCGCCCTGGTTTCCTCTCTGATCTTCCCCTTCCTGTCCCCAGCAGTGTCACTGCAGCCATGGCTGGGCGCTTCCGTAGGTC